AACCCTAAACCCCCAAACCCTAAACCCAAGAACCCAGAACCCTAAACCCAACACCCTAAACCCTTATTCGGGTTCCTTTAAGGACTTCACAGGCCTGGGACTTCTGCTGCGCTTGGCGCTCACTGCGCTTCTTCCGCAGTTCTTCGACCTGCGGTTTAGGGTTTTAGGGTTTAGGGTTTAGGGTTTAGGGTTTAGGGTTTAGGGTTTAGGGGTTAGGGTTTTAGGGTTTTTGGTTTTTTGGGTTTTGGGTTTTAGGATTTGGGGGTTTTAGGGTTTTAGGGTTTAGGGTTTAGGGTTTAGGGGTTTTGGGTTTTTGGGTTTTGGGTTTTAGGATTTGGGGGTTTTAGGGTTTTAGGGTTTGGGGCTTTGGGTTTTCGGGGTTTAGGGTTTGGGGGTTTAGGGTTTGGGGTTTGGGGCAGATCTGGGTTTAGAGGTTATGTAGGGGTCTGTAGTCATTGATAATTAGAATAAGGTTTTGGGCTCCTTTATAATATAATTATAATAACGAGCCTAAGGAATATTATTGGTACTCATCTAGGCTTCTATATTAGGCTTTAAGGTTTCGGGTGTAAGGAATTTGAGGGATCCCAGAGAGGCCCCAAAGCCCCATAATCAAGGAACATGGCTGATATCTTAACCACCCCGAGACCCTAAACCCAAAAACAAAGTTCAAGAAACATGCGGCTTTTGGATTTATGGGGTTTGTGCGGCTTTAAGAGGGTTTAGGATATATAGGCTCAGGATTTAGGGTTTAGGGTTTTCTGAACTGCTATGGGGCTTTACAGCGTGTTAAGGAACTTCGTGCAGGGAAAGCACACATACCCCTAAACCCCAAGGCTTTACGCCCTAAAGCTCATGAGCGAGAAGCCAGAAATTCTTTGCCTGCTTCCGCTTCTCGGCGATCTGGCGAATCTGGCCAGGGTGGGTCTAGAGCAGATACACCTAGACCCTAAGCCCTACTTACATCCTGAAACATGAACCCCAAACCCTAGCAGAGCAGCCAGCAAATCCAACACAGAGTGAGACGAAAGCATGACAGCAATGCATGGTCAATCGAGTCAATTGAACTATAGTATAGCATCGTATGATACCAGATAATGCCATACACAACTATATAGTACAATCAAAGATAATACAATAGTATGTAATAAAGCACTACATCCTAGTATAATATACTCCAAAGTATGATACAAGAAACAAACACATGTATGTATATGATCAAATCTACTGAACCTTTGTATAGTAATACAAAACACTCCTCCGGCTCCTGAGTCAGGCTACAGGCTGTTCCAGAAGGCGATCGATATGGCTTATGGCTTAGGATCTTTAGGATTTGGGGTTTAGGATTTAAGGGTTCAGGGGCTTTGTGGTTTAGGATCTGGGGGTTTAGGGTTCAGGGTTCACCAAGTCATCAGCCGGCCTTTTCCTCTCGCTCTCGTCTGAGAGCTTCGATTTCTGCCTGCGGCAGAAAGGGAGCACAAAGAGCGCAATACTCCTGAGTTAAGGATTATACCTCAAATGATAAGGGGCTAAATCTCATGAACTCAGAAAACATTCCTCAATTAAGGGGTACTGGGCTTTCTGAGACTCTGGTTGCTGCGACTTCAGAGAACGAATAAACGGCAAAGCACTGAACTCACGACAGTCATCACCTGCTACACGCGGCCTCCATGCTTCCGTCGGACAAGAACCCGCGAAGCTACGGCAGCATTATTTGTACGACTTGGGGTGAGACTGGCTATTTACTATTACTATTGTCATTACTGTTTGCAGCTGGTCGAGGAAGGGCCTAGATCCAGGGTGCTGCGCCTACTTTATGTCTAACGTAGGGGCCTTGATAATTAGAATAGGGTTTGGGGGTCCTCTATAGTATAAATCATAAGGAATCACCAAAATAGTATAGGCAATTATTAAGGCCATATATTCTGCCTATATTGAAAGCACTTGCCGCTTGATGCTTGCTGCCATCGTGGCTGACATGGCTTCGGTGAAGGCTGAGCAAGAGGAAGGCTCGAGCAACAGCAAACCGTAAGCCCTAGAACCCTAAACCCTTAACCGTAAAACCCTTAGACCCTAAAGCCCTAAGCCCTAAACCGTACAACTCTGAATCCTAAAAACCTAAACCCTAAAACCCAAAACCCTAAAATCTCCTAAATCCTAAGACCCTAAAACCTAAAAACACTTAAAACCCTAAATCCTAAGACCCTAAAACCCTAAAAACCCTATATCCTAAGACCCTAAAACCTGAAAACACTAAAAACCCTAAATCCTAAGACCCTAAAACCTAAAAGCCCTAACACCCTAAATCCTAAGACCCTAAGACCCAAAAATCCTAAAACCCCAAACCCTAAGACCCGAAACCCTAAATCCTAAAACCCTAAATCCTAAGACACTAAACCCCAAAATCCTGAGAACCTAAACCCTTGACCGTAAAACCCGAAAACCCCAAGACCCTACACCCAAAAACCCTAAACCCTAAGACCCTAAACCCAAACACCCTAAACCTAAGACCCTAAATCTCAAGACCCTAAACCCCGGCTCTTCGGCCTGCGCCTGTCCGAAGCTTAAACGGCTCAATCCCTTGGGGTTTTTAAGGTTTAGGGTTTAAGGGTTAAGGATTAAGGGTTTAGGGTTTAGGGTTCCACAAACCAACTCTGAGGGGTAAGATATATATATATATATATAATTATATTTTTTTTGGGGGGGGATGCCGTATTAGAGTTATAGTATAATATACCCCAACAAAACTATTCTGATTATTAAGGCCCCTATATCAGGGTTTAGGGTTTGGGATCCCGCATTCTCCGAAGGAACTCTGGAACTCGGATGGCTTTTCAAGCAATGGGCGAAGGCACAACTCGGACTGTGCAGTGGGGTGGAGGGGAAGCGGGCAGGGGCAGGAAGAGGAGGGGGGAGGCAACGAAACCACACTGACATTTAGAATTGCCTGCATGCCTATGCTACATATTTTTCCTCTACATGTCAAAAATGTCAGTGCGAGGTGCTGCCATCCAGTCTGCCAAAGGGCAGTGGCACGTGGCAGCAAAGTTGACAAAATCCTGGAAAAAGTTGGACTCCACGAGTTCACAGCTAGTAGATGTCGGAAGTAGCAGGTCTCCCAGAGTATATACAATATTGGGGGGGGGGGGGGGGGNNGCCTTAAACTTGCAACAGGGTTTGGGAAAATATTTATTATAATGCTATTCAAGCCAGAAAAGTAGTATTAATACTTATGAAAGCTGTTCGAGCCCATGTAGTAGTTTGAGGATGCGGAGAAGCTTCCAGCATCCTTCCAGCCGCTCAACTCGGCAAATGCTGGCAGCCAGCATCTCTACGGCGGGCAGTCAGACAAGGACACTTACAATCTGCATTGTCTGACCTGCAGAAGGAACATTCAGAGTGCCCAGTACCCCTTAATTAAGGAATGCAGCTAATTATACGGAGCTCATGCAGATATATTCCGTAATGAAGCGGAATTAGGCAGCTGACAGTGGAGACGAACCCGGTGCCCAGAGCCAAAATGTGAACGATACACCACCTGCATTCCGTTGGACTAATATGTAATGTAACCCAAATGGCTCGGTACAAAATGAACAGCAGTCTCTAAAACCCGAAACCATTGTGGAACTCCCCAAACCCGTCAAGCCTCAAACTCCAAGACTCTAAACCCCACGACCCATGATACTGCAAGCAGGCCTTAAACCGCCCTAAACTGCCCCTGAACCCTGAAATCATAAGCACCAAAAAAAACATCTAAGACTCGAAACCTCTACAGACTCTACAGGCCACTGGGCCCCCAAAAGAGCTGAGGCGTAGGCACCGCATCGGTTCGTAGGCCCCGTCTTGGGGTCCCGGTCCCTTCGTTCGGCTCCTGCTTTCCACGTGCCGGGCTTTGAGGGCCCAGGGCCCTTCTTAGGGTTTAGGGTTTAAGGG